TTGTATATATGGTATATAGTTATTGTACTTTTGTATATAGTTTTTCTTATGTTAGTTATAACCTTTTTCCTTTTTATTAAAATAGAAAAGAGGAAATATGGTGATATTTTATTTGTACTGAAATGTGATTTTATTTGTATGTTAATAAATAAAGTTGCCTGGGGGTCAGAGCTAATAGCAAGCCATAGCAGGAGCTGGGCAGCGGTGGTGGTACACGCCTTTAATCCCAGCTCTTGGGAGGCAGAACCAGGTAGATCTCTGTGTGTTCAAGGATACAGCCAAGCATGGAGACACATGCCTTTAATCTCAATACCAACCATAGAAGTCCTGGAGGTCTGTACAGATGGGCAGTGATGAGAAGGTCATGTGGTTGGGTTTACAACCAATGAGAAGGCAGAACAGAAAGTCTATACAGACAAACACACAGGAAGTAGGTCTCTTGCTGGAGAGGACAGCTGCAGCAGTGAAGGGTAAGGCTCTTAGCTCTGACCCCTTGGGCTTTCATCTCTGCATTGGCTCTGTGTTTCTTATTTAATAAGACGGTTACTTCTACAAGTGACCCCCACAGGGCTCACATATTAGATATCTGTATATTTAATATTTACATTACAATTCATAACAGTAGCAAAATTACAGTTATGAAGTAGCAACAAAATAATTTTATGGTTGAGGGTCACCACAGCATGAGGAAGGTTGAGAACCGCTGCTCTAGATCAACGTTCTGTCCGATCTGCTTGGTGGAAGCCCACAGGATGCCAATGGGGATGAGAAGAGCAGCTGCTGGGATGTGCGAGGAGCCTCTAAAGCTGCTCTGCCGGCTTAGAACAGTCCACAAGCTCACTGAGCCTTACTTTCCAGCCTGTAAAACCTGAACAGTCCTGGGTGCTGCTCACTGCAGCCATGTAAGATACGAATGAGACAATGTTGAAAGGCCATTCACGGAACCCAGGGCAGTGGCGACCTCTGACAATCATGTCAGACCCTATGACTCACTCCAGCCACAGCAAGAACAAGCCCACACCACCAGCTGTGACGGCCACAGACCTCAGGGAAGGGAAGAGCACAGAAGAGGAGGTGAACAGGCCTCAGGGGTGCTTGTTCCTCGGTGACTGCCTTCGCAGCAGAGAAAGCAAGAAGTCTTTCTTCAAGAGTGCTCTAAAGAGTACTGACATGTGACCCCTGCTAATGGGCCCCTGTGAACAACCCTTTCACAGGGGTCACATCTCAGATACCCTGAATATCGGATATTTACATTATGATTCATAACAGTAGCAAAATCACAGTTTTGAAGTAGCAACGAAAATAACTTTATGGTTGGGGGTCACCACCTGAGGAAGTGTATGAAAGAGTTGCATCGTTAGGAAGGTTGAGACTCAGTGCTCTAAAGAGACACAAGCTGAATAATTTTTAAAAAAATAAGGAAAGAGAAATGAAAAAAATAGACAGAAGGTGATATTTCCCCTTAGAATATAGTGCTGGGCAATAGAATTTACATTTTCCAATTGCCACAAAACTAAAATATACAGTAACACCACACGTAAGCAAAGCAAGCAAAATTAACTTGCCAGTAATGGGCAGATGTTCGTACTGAGCCCTAGAGTGTGGTGAGCTGGCAAGGGCCATCATTGCTTCTGGGGACTCAGGGACATGGGAAGGAAATATCACGCAGACCAAACGTGGTGAAAGACAGAGAGTGTGCAAGTCCATTCCAGATTAAACTATAACACACTGGATGCTCTCTTAGACTAGGGAAAAAGTCACTGAAGTTACAAACCAGGGCAGTCAGCAGAAGCAGAACACATACGGCAGGTGTGGAAGAATGGGACCAACGTTAATTCCTAATCAGGACTACTACAGCCAGAGAATCCTCCCTCCCTCCCTCTCTCCCTCCCTCCCTCCCTCCTTCCTTTCTTCCTTCCAGAATGATGCCTCTTACATTTCTCAAGTGGTTCAGAAACAATGTAACACATATAGACTATGACCCATGACAGCCACAGATGACTGCACAAGAGGCAGCTGGGAGGCCAAGGCATTCGAGAAACAATTCTGGAGATGAGAAATGAGGCCCTGCCCAGTGTGGGTGCCATGGGCCGACTCACCATCCTCCTGAGGATCCGCAGCAGAAGCTTCTGGTCCTTTGGGTCTTCCTTGGCCACCAGGAGGTCAGCAAAGGTCTCTAGGTTTTCTGGGGACAGGCTGTCTGGGTTCTCTCCTCCATACAGCTGCACCAGGATGGACAGGCACTTGGATGAAACCTCGGAGATCTCAGGGTCCTCACTGGGAAGCTGGAAGTAGGCAGAGAGAGTCGAGTAAGTTCTACCGGGTATGATGTGCTGCTCAAGACCAGCCCCAACCGGCTTCACCATGGGAGCTCAGGTGTGAGGAGAAGGTGAGGTACATTCTAGTGACTGCACCGTTTAAACACTACAATGCGTTAAAGAAGCTATTCCGCACCAAGCCGGCACCTGTACTCCTTCCACCATGCACTGAGGCCGAGGAACGACCAGCAGCCAGCGGGGATCGGGATGGATCTCATACATGTAGCCAACACACACTTTCTCATGCATTCACAGTGGGGTGCACCAACTGCACCGACGGCTTGGCTTTCGGACGCTTCTCTCCCCATGCCCTTTGTTTTCTTTCTTGAGACAAGGTCTCACTGTGTAGCCCAGGCTGGCCTCAGCCCCCCACCATGCTGGAGTCACAGATGTGTCCCTGAATACCTCTTTAGACACAAATTTACTAGTAACTTGTTAAGGAAGCCTCTACTACATAAAAGATACCAAGGCTTACTATTCCCAAGACATTTTTAAAAAGCTTCTATCAACAGGGTGTTTTTCCTTATTTCCTTCTTAGCTCACTAGGGTACAGAGAAACTACTGGCTTTGGGGAGCTTCTGCATCCTACCACTTAGCTGATTATCACTTTCTTCTGCTAAGTAACATTCCACTCACTAGACATCCCACTCTTTATGTACACATTGAAGAAAATGTGCCTTGTTTCAGATTTGAAGGTATAAAACTCCCATGCATATCTGTACAGCTCCTAAAAATAAGCATCAACATTCATTCTCCAGGAAGCCCAGGGTATCTGCCGGGCTGCACCTGGGGGACTCAACATTAGTCATGCATCTTCCCATCGCACAGTCCAGCTGATGCAGTGGCACAGTCCAGCCTCGCATGCATCGCACTCAGCGTCATGTCATTCATTCCCGCTCCTCTCGGGCGCCTGGTGCTCCCCTTGGGCACCTGGTGCTATCTCATTTTACTTCTGTACCATCCATTCTTTGCCCATTAGTAATGAATATTCACTGTTGATATTTCAAAGTTCCTTAAACATTCCTGGTGCAGCTCCTCCTGGCTGGCTCACATTTCCCAAGCATTCCCTCTGGTCTGGGAACAGGTTCTTGTCAACTTCACAAAGACTTTGGCAGAAAAAATAGTTTTGATGAATTCCAATTATTGGATTTTCTATTCCTAGGAATGTCTTGGCTAAACCTTCAGGCCTGAAGATTTTGACTTACATTTTTCTCTAAATTTCTTATAGTTTTATATTTTATACTCAGGTTTCACTTAATTTGAGGTTAACTTGCATATAAGATGCTGGATCTCAGGAAGAGGATTCTGTCTCTTGTGAGTCACCCCCCACTACTCCCCAGACTGAACATCCTGTTGCTCCTGAACACACATTAGTTAAAAATCATCCGGGAGGGCTCAGCACTAAGAGCCCTCAGCAGAGGACCCAGTTTGGCTTCCAGACTCACAACCACCTGTAACTCCAGTGGACCCAATGCCCCCACATACATGTATGCATTCCTACACACAGATACACACACGTGAATACACAATTTAAAAAAGCAAATCTTTGTGAAAAAAACCACCTGGACACGTTTACATTGTCTTGCTGCATTCTTTATTGTGATTGGTCCATCCAGACATCTATCCCACCACCGGTCACACGGTCCTCACACACCACAGAGAGTTCCCCTCCCATGGCTTTCTTCTCTTTCAAAAATTGCTTCAGCTGTTTTAGGGTGTCTGCTTTTCTTTATAAATTTTAGAACCAGCTGCCTGTCTCTGGAAATCTGCTGGCGAGGCCTCAGTGGAGGAGTGAGTGTCTCTCTCCATCCATTTCCGTCATCCTTGATTTCTTCCCCGAGTTCTGCAATGTTCTGGACATGCCCGCTACCTGAGGGCTGTGGTGTACTTCACTCTCTTTGCAATGATTTTACACAGTGTTGTTTTTTAATTTGAGTTTCTACACACTTGTTGTTAGTTTACACATCCATCCAGGATTTTTAAGAAGTGAATTTTCAGGTGCAATTAGTGCCAAAGTCACAGGTCCGTGATCATATGTGGTCAAGCATTTTGATGAGCCTGACTGTTGGTTCTTCACTGTGTCTGGACTTTGCACCTGGATGGAGTGACTCAACTCTGAGTGTGGTCCACACAGTCAGGCAGGGCTGGTTTCCTTCGAGAACGCTGCCTCTCTTCTCACTCCTCCGACCTACTCAGAACTTTAGTGCCACGTCACCTAAGAATGGCGGCCACGGCCTCTCGACTCTCCTAATCCTGGGACGTGGGATGGAGTCGCTCACTATTAAATATGATGTTGGCTGTAGATTTTTCATAGGCGTTTATCAGCTTGAGAAGGTTTTCCATCTAATCCTAGTTTGATGAGAATTCTTATCAGAAACTAGTGCAAGACTTTGTCAACTACTTTTTCTGTATAGATTCATGTTATATCCAATTTCTTCATAATACTGTGTATCTGGCAGGATATATTAACTGACATTTGCTGAACAAATCTCATACATCTGGAGGGAATCCTTCTGGGCCACTGTGTTCTGCCACACACAGGTGTGCTCATTTCATGAACACTGCACGAAGGACTGCCGCATCTTAGGTCATGAGAGACACCGGCCTGTGGCTGCTTTGATTAGTGGTGTTTTGTGTGTGCAAGGCACATGTGCATGTATATGTATGCGTGTGTGTGTGTGTGTGTGTGTGTGTTGGGTTTTTCTTTTGCTTTTCTGGTCATTTTTTTTTTAAGTCAACATCAGCCTGACCCCAGCCTCAGTAAATGGATTGGGAAATATTTCCTCTCTTTTATTTTCTCTAAGAAATTAAAGCCGTTGCCCAATCCTCTGTCTGGTAGAATATTCTGGTGAAATTAGCTGGGTTTGGAGAGATTAGAAATTCAATTTCTTTAATGATTCTAGAACGACTCAGTATCCATCTTGGTTGAAGTTTTTTGTTAGAAGAGAACAGATTAATTTCTTCATGAGCACAGAGTTGTTCAGAACGTTCCCAAGGCCCCCCTCAGAGGCTGTGTCCATGTCCTCCATCCCAACCCGCACCAGTTATTCCTGTTTCTCTAATCTTTGTCAGTTTCTTGTAAGCTTTCAATTTTACTTTTGTTCTCCAAAGAGTTATTTTTTTAATTTAATTTGTTTCCCTCTTTTTATTTGCTTTGAGTTGATTTTATATTTACTTCTTTCATTTCCTAAGGTGGCATATAAGGTCTCCCGCAGCATTTTTATCCACACGTTCCTGTACTTTGCTCTTGCTCATTACCCTCCCCTCCTGCACTCCCCAGCTCTGCTTGCTGATCCCCTTCCTACCCCCACCCTCTCTCCTTCCTTGTTAATTCTGTTTGCTGTGCAGCTCTGGGGACTGAGCGCTGGGCCTCAGGAATGCCTGCTAAATGCCAGCGCCAGGCCACGTTCGTCCTCTGAAGCATCCTCACTACAGAACCCAGGCTGGCCTCAACCTCCCAAGTGCTGGGCCATACACAGTGCCGCCACCCCAGGCTCAGCTTCCCTTTCTCTAATTTCAGTTTCTGGTGTTACAGATTTTTCTCTAGCCCGTACTTTCAGCTATAGCCTACAAATTTTGATGTATTTTCATTTTAGTTCAATTCTATGTATTAACATTTCCTTTGAGAATTCAAGTGTGTTTTCATTTTAGATGTTAAAATTTTCCTGCTGTCTGACTGACTCCTGGCTTGGCTCCATCGGGAGCCAAGGGAAGTCGCTCTAGGAGAAAGGCCAGCTCTGGCTCACAGCTCAAGGGTGCAGTCCATCATGGCAGCTCACAGACATCCACAATCGGGAGGCAGAGAGGGACAGGTGCCGCTGCTCCGCTGCCTGCTCCACTACACGGGCTCAGTCACAGATCCCGGCCAGGGAATAGCCCCACCTCCACCAAAGTTACCGTAAGCATCCCCATGGCGTGTGCAGGGCCCACCTCCCACGTGCTCCTAGGCTCCGTCACCTTGACAACTGACACTACTGCAAATGGCTTGTTCTATGGAGAAACTTCACTGGTTTTACCTTCATTGTTTATTACACTCCTAATTTTATTTATAGACTCAACCACATCCAATTAAATTTGAACTTAAAACAAACATATCATCATTATACTTTAAGTATACCCATTTGGCACCTTGTTTTTTCTGTCAGCCTAGCTTCTTGGAAGCATTCTTCCTGGCCACCTTGAGTACTTTGTGGGACGATGAGACATAAGCAGATAAACACATGCAGCCTGGACGTGATTCTAAGGAAACACACATTTGAATTTTAAGAACTGTTTTAAAATAATTTAAAATCACAGTTGTGGTGTGTTTGTTTCTCTTTGATCAATGTATCCAACACAATGTATTTCAGACGTCTTTCTATTCTATTCTAAAAATATTACCTACCACAGTGCTTTGTCAAAAGTTGTATCAGGAAACTCAGTTCCAGAGAAGAAAATACAAAGAACAAAAACAACCACTTCACAGCAGCGTTTCCTGCCCCTTTGATGTTGCTGATGCGCCAGGAGACAGATCTCTGCACTGTTAGGACATCTTTTACAGGATTCCACCCCAGGCCATCCATCGCGCCTGCCCACCTGGCTGCAGTGGAATATCACTTAGGGCTGGAAATCGCAGTGTCCGTGATGCTGCCCCCTCTTGTTGGAGTGAGGGATGCTGATAGGTCTCCACCCTCAAGACATCATACTCTGAAATGTGGGGATTTAGAAGGACAAAGACCTGTCACTCCTTCTATCCATTTGATTCTAAATCTACACATCACAGATTTGGAAACCACCCCAAAGACAAACCGAAAGGCACAGGTGGCAGAGATGGGTCCTGACTTGTCCTGAGCGGCATCCACAGTGCCCTTCAGAGTTTGCTGCCGAATGGTAGGAAACACAACTCCTTAACACAGAGCAGCTGAAGCTTCAGAGAACGAGCGTGTCAACAGTCATTTGAGATGTCAAATACTGAGTTATAACAGTTAATAATAGCAAGCTTTCACATAAAAATTTGGATTTAGTGGTTTTGGTGTTTTTATTTTTTTCCCACTTTTGGAAGTATTTGCCACAA